GCGGCAGCAGTGGTGGAGGAGGAAGAAGGCTATAAAAAAAAATAAATAAATATAATGACATGGCACTTTATGATTGGGGGGACAGGAATTAGAGACAGGGATTAGAAGATTTTTTATCCATATTTTATTCGGTTAAAAAATTTCAAATAACTTGTTCGTACAACAAGTCTTTTCAAGAACCTTCATTTCCAAACATGTCTATATGTACCTTGTCGTAATTGATATCAACTTAGACTTCGTCCACACAACTGTTTCCTCTCACTCTCTCGTTGTTTACATGTTGTTCTATTCTGTCTTCTTTTGATCGCATGGATCATGAGAAGAACGTGTGTGAAACAGAGGCGAACAAGCCTCTGCCACCTTTCTCACTTTCAACCCCAGAATCCTCACTCGCTCAACTCTACCCCAACACACCTGAAATTTTCACACGTTACAGTCCAAGTGTGATCAAAAGAATGGAAAATGACACGTGCCACACGTGCCATCAGAAGGGTCACTGGTCCTGGCACTGTCCACTCAAGTCCTCTAATGCAAGACCCTTCATCACCAACGATTCCCCTTGCGTCCACAACATATGGTGCCGCTGTGGCCACGGGCGTTGCGATGTGAGAACCGCAAAAAGTGTCAAAAACAGTGGCAGAAAGTACTACACTTGCCCCATCAAAAGGGTATGCAAATGGTTTCAACGATGATAACATAACACTTTCTCAGTTTTTGTTAAGTGTGCTTTTCGTTTGTTGTTTAGGGGGCGAAGTGTAAAGACTTTGTTAAATGGTGCGATGATCCCGTTGATGAGAGTGATTTGCAGCCTCCAGCGTTTAAGTATCCTGAGTGTGTGTGTCCTGCTGGAGTGTGTAGAAGGGTTAAAGCAATGCAGAACCTTGGTTCAGTTAAATACTGTTTTACTTGCCCTATTAAACAGGTATAATATATCATATGATTTGTTGTTTTTGAAGTTAAAATGCTTACCTTGACTTACAGTTTTTGTTTCGTGGGAATGGCAAGTTTTTGGATGATATTGGTTGCGATGATCAAATGAGGAATCTTACTGTTGGTGTGTAGTAAACACAAGCGTGTTTTGAGTTCTTAGTTCTTACTTATTTCTAGTTTTAACGGCTTGCTTTATTGTGAGTTATTGGTTTCTAACTTATTGTAACTTGGTATGGTGCAGAGAAAGTGAGAGAAGAAAAAAGTTTGAAATTTGAATCTCAAGAAACGTGTTAAGAAAGAAAGAAAATGAATTTTGTTTTTCTGACACAACTTTATCTCTCGTTTTTTCACTCTTTCTCCAACCAAATAATAAAAAATAGATTATTATCATTTTATCTTTCTTTAACAACAAAAGTTGATATAATGCAAGCAAAGTTTTACATCATTCAAATAAAAAAATGAACATAAATTTATATATAACAATTGTTTCTATTGGTCGAGAGATTTTTTTAGATAGGGTGATGTCTATGATGGAGAAGTTGGACAAGTAGTCCATCGAAACTGGCATGATTCCGAGATAGGTGGAGCACATTTCCTCCCAGTCATATAATGTTGGGCCAATGACTGGTAAACCATCAACTCGTAAGCCAAGTTGAAGTGCAACATCCTCCAGTGTTATGGTGCACTCTCCAGTTGGAAAATGAAATGTATGAGTCTCATGTCTCCATCTTTCAACCAAAGCTGTGATTAATGCGTGATCCACTTTCAGATGTCTGAGGTTTGCAACCCCAGAAAACCAACTTTCTCTAGTATAGGAACAATTAGAGGGTGGGGTTCTGACATTTAATGACAGTAAGAACAAATAATATTCTCAGTCTCCTGCAATAATTACCAAAATTAGTACTAATTTGTTAAAATTTCATTGAAATTTAAAGTAAATAACGAAAGTGCTAAACTTACCGTTCTACCAATGAAGGTAGACCTATGCTCATTTTGCTTCCACAACAACATTTTTGATATTTGGTTAATGAAAATTGAACCAAAATAATAATTTCTTACTATGAAGGTGAATCAGAAGCAGTACAGGGAAGGAATAAAGGAGAGAAAGTTGGTTGAAATCGTATGGAAAAATGAAGGGGAGAGGGCCTATTTATAGGAAAACCAGCATTTTTACTGTTTGCCCAGAACGGGTCATTCCAAAACCAGAACGGCCTGTTCCAAACCACGTTATAATGCGTAAAATCGTCTTCTGGAACGGGCCGTTCCAAGGCCGTTCCAATTTCAAAAAATTGTTTAAATTTCTATTCTGGAACGGCCCGTTCTAAAATAAGAACGGTCCGTTCTTGGGCCAATTAAAAAATAATACTCCGTGGCTTTAAGGAGAAAGACCCGTTCTGCTTTCGGAACGGGTCGTTCTACTTTCAAAATTTGTCCAGATTGGTCCACAAACGCGAAAAAAAATGAACAAATAAATATAACTCTGAATTCGGTTCCCGGGGAACCGAATTCTGAGAAGAAAAAAAAAATATATAGAAGCTCAGAATCCGGTTCCCCGGGAACCGAATTTTGAACAAGCACAGTAAAAGGGTCTAGTTCAGTAAATAAAGATGCACAGGTGTTAAATGTGTAATGTTTTTTTAAAAAAAATATTATTTTGGTAAAAATTTCCTCCGCCCCCGCCCCCGATACCCGTTGGGGATAAAATCTAGGTCCCCATCCCTGCCCCCGGCGGGGTTCAGGTTTCCCCGCCCCGCCCCCGGCCCCGCTCCTATTTTTCTTCTTCTTTTTTTATTTTAAATAAATATGAACAATTTAAAAAAAATTAAAAGAAAAGTAAAATAATATAAATTTTTACATATAAATATTTATAATTTTGGTTTATATATATATACAAATAATTTTTTAATTATATTATTAAGCGGGGCGGGGA